TTTGGGCAATTATTAAAGTATCTAAATCTCATTTTCAACAATATCACATACACCTTGTTAAAAGATGACTAGTGAGTTACACCCTAGCAGAAAAGAGATATATGCTGGACAGTAGTAACATAGTGCATTTTTTCTTTTTATTGCACAGATTATATTCACGCCTTTTTGAGCCTTTTGTATAGTTTTTTAACCCTTCCTAGGAAATAGACCCTTTACAGCGGACACCTGATCCACCTTTGATCTTTCTTTCTTCTTTATAATACAATATTTATATATTAAATGAAAAAAAAGAAAAAGAAAAAAAAAAAGCATAGATTAAAGGCATTAAGCATTCAAATCACATTATAGAATCCAATGAATTTGATTTGCTTGAATAAATGGTCCAAGATTATATCCTTGTCAATATACATCTTATAATGAATAAATCTACTTTCTAATCAATTTATTATGGTGTCATCCTCCCTCATAAGCATTTACTACCCCAAAAAAAAAAAAAAATGTCACAAAAACCTAAAAATGATGATGAAAACATAGAGACAAGCAATAACCCAATATGTCGTACCTCACCACTGACCACACCTTGCCAATCCAGGTCACATTTTGTCACCATACATGTTTTATTTTTTCTGATCTATACCAACCTTTTTTTTTTTTTTTTTTTTTTTTTGGTTTACTATGGATGAAATTAAAGCATATTATATTAATTTTCCATTTCAATTCCCTCACTGACAACTTAACTAAACTATAAACTAAAAAGAATAATTTTTTAGAGCTTTTACAACAGGTTTTCCCAGTTTTTCAAACATCTTTAGCCAGCTGATCACCCTACTTAGCCTAATCCAAGAATGGCTTGATTTCTTCTTTCCCCAGACACCTTTCCAAAAGGTTACCCATCTTGTCTACCAATTACTCGTAAAATGAATCCTAAGAGTCAGACTGGTCCTATGAGTGAGAATGATGCTTGAAGCAAGGTTAACATGATGGTCAATATTATGCTAAAACTGAAGACTGTACCAAAATTAGTAAATCATCTCATGCTAAAATTGATCCTAAACAAGAAATTAATTGATTTCATTGGTTGAGCCTCTTATTAATTGGATGTTCACTAATTTGTCTTCAAGATTAACTTACGATCTAGTAATTAATTATACTCACCAAGGCATTTTTGGGCCTCTAGTGGTTTCATCTATGGAATTTTTTGGATTATTTACCATAGCTCGATCAAGTTGATGCCACACTAAGATCTAATCCTCTCTACCAAATCGATTGGATTATTATGCTTATATTTTGGTTGATCTCTTTCATATGTCTAGTGTAAGATCAAATTTGGCGTTTTCAAGTCTATTGATAACATTCAGTTTATACATGGTGCCTCTCTACTGATCAACGCTTCAGCAATCAAGTTTTACTTAACAGGAGAGAATCATGGAGAACCTATGATCTAGTAATTTAGGGAAATAAGATATTTACTACTTGTTATATTTAGATTTGATTCCCTACAGTTGAATTTATTATTTAGGTTAGACTGAAAAAGCTATTGCAAGTATATTATAGTTGTATGTAAGACTTTGATGGATTATTGAATACAAATATTTGATCTCTCCCCCTATAATCTGTTTCTTCCTCTAATTCCTTTGTTTTCTCTCCATTCTTATTATCCAAAACAATGACACATAATCCCTAAGAAAACATTCAAAACTCTACACCAAAATAACCATGTGACTTTGATTAGTATATTAAAGAAATGAAAAACAACATGTCCAGGGGCAAAATAGCTTTTGCACATCATAACGGCTTAAGTGAACATAACTATTAATTTGAGGGAAGAACATCCTGACGTGTTTTTTTTTTTAATTGGATAAGAAACTATGAAATATGTATTATAGAAAAGATCTAACAAAAGTGAATAAGCAATCCTCTAAAGAAAGACAAGCTTGAGAAAACAGGAAAAAAAGGTATACATAACGTATACCAAACAACCCAAAGATGACAATCATAAAAAGATGACCAAAAAATAAACCAAATGCTCGCACAATTAAAAAGTAATCAAGCGCCAAAACTCTCTCCCAATTTAAATGAATTATAAATGAAAGAAGAATCTCTAAATTATTGTCAATGACACTCAAAGGGAAGCTAAATTTCAAACTCTATCCCACAAAGAAGGGATGTCTTCCTCTCTGTTAATATAAAGAAAACCTTCAATTCCTCAATCCAAATTACCCAAAACAATGACAAAACAACAAATTTCCACAACTTTAGCTTTATTAATCCTACCAAAAGAGTCCAAGAATTTGAGAAAAAGAATTTATCAAAGGCTGGAATGACCCAAGAAATTTTAGCTATTCGAATCAGTTTAAATCGAAATCCAACAGCAAGGGACAATGATGGAATAAACAATCTTTGTTTTGCTTCTTTTAAATAACACACGAAGAGGGAGCCAAGAACATATTAAGGAATCTTCAGTGAAAAACTTCACCTGTATTGATTCTATTGTGAGCTAAGGCCCAAGCAAAAATTTGAGCCTTACAAGTGACTTTGGCGTTTCAAATTATTCTATCCAACAAAATAGAAAAGTAAGAGGGATCATTAATCAACCAAGAGAAATAAGATTTACATAAAAACAAAAAAGGTCAATCCAACTTCAAATCTCTCCGATCCTCCTTAAGCCTATTAATAGATACATTATCCACTGAAACCAATAGAACAGAAAGATCCTAGATATCTATCTCATTCAAATTCCAAAAAAGGTCAAAATTAAACTTCAACTGTGGAGAGGGCAACCAAGTAAACCACTTTGGATTTGATAGAGACATTATGAGATCTCGAACATCCATAAAGATAATAGAACATGCAACACAAACGATTATCCTACTGCCAAGCATATTCCAAAAGGCAAATTATATCCCAATTCCCTACATCGCGTAAAATGAGAAAGAGATACAGAATAGTATTTCGATATAGATTCCAAGGGCTTCAAGGGAATCCATTAGCCACCATCTTAGAATCCTAACCATTTACATAGAGGCCATATTTACTCTTGATAACCACATACCATAAGGAGGACTTATGACAATATAAGATAACAAAATGAAAGAGCTAAAAGTTGAGACATGTCAGAACATGTCTTTTAGCCCACTCCACTTTTACGATTCAACATTTTTCTAGTTGCTGTCTCCAATTAATTGACATTTTAAACAAAGAATATTTCCAAACAATGTCCTTAGATTATACCAAAATTTATATTTACTAGGGGAATCAAAAGGACTTTAGGTTATAAAAATATAGACTAGTGAAGGCCAAGAAAGAGGAATAAGATTGCTTTAGAATTACCAAAAATGGTCTAGGTTTCGCAGTGAGAATGGTTATTCTACACTTGAAACTAGGAAACTTTTGAGATATGATATCCCCAATTACTTGGTCCTAAAGAGATCTAAACTCTCTGACTTCTTAGCCGGAAACCAAGGGTCAAACCATTCAAGCTTTAAGATAATGTTATCATGTTATCACAGGCCAGGGAGTATAAGCATAACCATCATGGAAAATACTAGGATTTGAAATTTTTTAGAAATGTACAAGAAAGCATGCCCTCATTCTGCCTAATGGAGTCCCACATGACAACCTAAAAGACACCATCCAAAGTTGATATCAACTGTTCACTAGCACTAATCCATCACTTTAGAGAGCAAATCAGTCAGCATAACAATAGAAAAGCTACCTCTTCTAACAATAGGAACTTTAGCCGCTAGCAATAACAATGACCCTAAATATTACTCTTACACTAAATAAGATACTAAACATGTTTAGATAGTTTAATTGTGTGATGATACAGGTAATTGCAACCATTGCAAAAATCCATGTTTGAAAATATTTGGCTTGGTTTATTCCCTCTAATGTTAACTTTATTGCAATGCCAATGGCTTTAAAACTCATAACATGCGCCCCAAGGAAAAAAAAAACTCATTAAACCATGGTTCTTTAAGCGCATTGGGATGATCCAAAAATGTGAGGAGCCACAAATACTAACTGTCAACGACCTAATTACAGAGCAAATTCCTATATAGATTGATGGACCCGAGATATCCAAATGGTATTTGCGCAAGACAGGAAATGGGAGGAAAGGGCAAAAGGGGTAAAGCATATGAGGACATGTGTCTTATTAGTTATTAGAATCCTGGTGTCATAATAAAGGGGAAGGATAGCAGGGGCGAGGGATATCTTTTGCTTTTGTGCATGAATTGAGTCTGAGAGGTGTTGGCCCTCAAAGACTAGCTGGCGATACTGTTTTATTCCAAAACTGAATGTCATCTTCTCCGTTTTTTCTTATTAATCAAGTCTGAATATATTACTCTCTTAGATATTGTTGTTTGATGGGTTGCTTATTGTATTTGTTTGTATTTTGAGAAGCATATTATTGTGTTGAGTTACGGCTATTTAGTGTGATTGGTGCAGTGTTTTAATTGAAATAGTAGGATTCCATCAAATTGGTATCAGAGCTCGCGGATTATCTGGGGTATGGTTGATACTAGAATGGAGAAAAGAGTTGACAGTGTCGAGAAGGAAATGGTGGTGGTTCAAAGAGACGACGTTGTTTCATTTTCTATTTTTTCTTCACTTTCAACAGTACAACCTAACTAAATATATACACACACTCAGCAATTACATATATACCTTTTACACTACATATACATAGTTTCCAACACTCCCCCTCAAGCTGGAGCATATATATTTATCATGTCCAACTTGTTACAAATATAGGTTACCCTTTTACCAGCGAGAGACTTTGTGAAAATGTCAGCTAGTTGTTCCCCTGTTCTAACATCATTAGTAGCAATTAGCTTTTGTTCAAGTTTCTCTCGTACAAAGTGACAATCCACTTCTATATGCTTAGTCCTCTCATGAAAGACTGGATTGTTTGTTATATGTATGGCTGCTTGGTTGTCACACCACAAATCCATAGTCCCTAGGTCACCAAACCCAATTTCTCTAAGAAGATGTCTTGTTCATATAAGCTCACACGTAACTTGTGTCATAGCTTGATACTCAGACTCTGCACTTGACCTAGCTACAACCGGTTTCTTATTACTTTTCCAAGAAATGAGATTTCCTCTAAAAAAAACACAAAACCCAGTCAGAGACCGTCTATCCACAGAAGATCCTGCCCAATCTGCATCTGAAAAACCTTTTACCTTATTATAACCATGATCACTATAAAGAATCCCACGTCCAGGGGCTCCTTTTAGATACTTCAAAATATGGAGGATCGCATCCCAATGTGATGTCCTAAGAGATGACATAAATTGACTCGCCACACTCACTAAAAAAGCAATATCTGGAGAGGTTACTATAAGGTAGTTTAACTTTCCAACTATCTGTCTATATCTCTCTGGATCACCAAACATCTCTCCATCCTCAGCATTCAATCTCACATTAGGAACCATAGGAGTGTCACAAGTCTTAGCCTCACTTAGACCCATTTCAGTCAACACATATAACGCATATTTGCGTTGAGAGAGAAAAATCTCTTTCTTACTCCGAGAAACCTCGACTCCTAGAAAATACCTTAAAGTGCCTAAATCTTTTGTGCGAAATTTGGAAGCCAAAAGTTTTTCAAACTCTGAATGCCAACATCATCACTGCTAGTGATTACAATGTCATCAACATAAACAACCAAAAGAATGATGCCAGAAATAGATTGCTTATAAAAGACAGAATGATCATAAGCACTCCTATGTAAACCAAACTGAGTCACCACTTCGCTAAACCTCCCAAACCAAGCCCGTGGAGATTGCTTTAAGCCATATAAAGATTTCTTCAGTTTACATACCTCTCCTGACTCCCCCTAAGCAACAAACCCCGTAGGTTGCTCCATGTAAACCTCTTCAAGACGATCACCATGTAAAAATGTAATTTTTACATCAAGTTGGTGAAGAGGCCAACAATATGAAGTTGCAAGAGAGATGAATAGTCAGACAAAGGTCATTTTAGCCACTGGGGAGAATATCTCAGAATAATCAATACCATACGTTTGGGCATAACCCTTAACAACCAATCGAGCTTTCAACTGAGCCACAATCCTATCGGGATTAGCCTTCACTGTGAAAACCCATTTGCACCCGATAACCTTTTATTTTCAGGCAACTCCATTAGAACCCATGTATCATTATGTTCTAGAGCCAACATCTCCTCTTCCATAACCCTTCACCACCCATCATGAGTAATTGCTTCAGACACAGAGTCTAAAGAGGCAATAAAAGACTTGAAAGATGAAGACAAAAAAGTGATAGGAAAATATAAGGAGATAGGATAGGTACAAGAGCGATTCCCTTTATGAAGAGCAATTGGAAGATCATGATCATGGTCAAAGGAAGAAGGAACAGGATCCGAGGGCGAGGCAATCGATAGAGGCAGTGGATCAGATGTTGCGGCAGGTGTCTCATGGTGCTGGTGAACCCTACGAGAGTATACCTGAGTGATAGGAGGACGAGATGGTAGAGGACTATGATGGGTAATGTTGTAAACAAGAAGATCATCAGGGGGTGCTTCAAGAGAAGTAGATGAAATGGAGGACTCAACATGTGGAGTGGTTTCAAAAAAGGAAACATCAGCTGAGATAAGATACTTACCTAGGACAGGAGAAAAACAATGATAACCCTTCTGATATCGAGAATAACCCAAGAATATGCACTTAAGGGACCTGGGTTTAAATTTGGATACATGAGGTCTAACATCTTGAACAAAGCACGTGCACCCAAACACTTTAAGAGGAAGAGAGAATAAAGATTGTGATGGAAAAAGGATGGAGAACGGGATTTGACCACTTAAAACAGAAGGCGGCATGTGATTGATCAAGTGACATGCTATAGAGATAACTTCTGCCCAAAATTTTGTAGAGACTTTCATGTGAAAAAGGAGAGTACGAGCGACTTCTAATAAATGACGATTTTTGCGTTCAGCAACTCCATTTTGCTGAGGTGTATAAACACATGATGATTGATGAATAATACCCCTAGTAGACAGAAAGGAGCAGAAAAGTATTCTTTGGCATCATCAATTTTGAGAATTTTAATAGATGAAGTAAATTGATTTTGTATTTCAGCATAAAAGATACAAAATATGGAGAATAATTCAGAACGGTTTTTCATAAAGTACAACCAAGTTACACATGAAAAATCATCCACAAAAATTACAAAGTATCAATATCCAGACTTAGACAACACAGGGCAAGGACCCCAAACATCAAAGTGTATAACATCAAAAGGGGTTGTGGCTCTTTTGTTTATCCTAGGGCTATAGGACACTCTATGGTGTTTTCCAAACTGACACGCCTTACACTCAAGGTGTGACGTTGACCCTACACTAGGACACAACCTTTTCAAAATGGGAAGGGGAGGATGACCAAGGTGCCTCTCCAACCTTTTCACAATTGAATGCATTAGTAATTTGACTAATAGATAAAAGATTAAAGGGAAAATGAAAAAGGCACAAGACAGAGGAGAGAGACATAGATTTGTTGAGATGGGCAGTACCACTTCCAATAATAGGTGTAATAAACCCGTTAGTTAAGGTAACCGAAGACAAATTGGGAGAAGGTGTAAATGAGGAGAGAATACCTGTGTCGCCCGTCATATGGTGGGTAACACCAAAATCAATGACCCCGTTACTACTAGAAGTGGACAAACATTCTGTAGAATTACCTAACTAGATTAATGTAGTGGTAGTCGATGGCATGGATGACTGGGAGCAAGAGTTCTGAGTGAGACGAGCATATTCTGCTGTAGAGATAGTAACCTGTGATGGGGTGAGTAAGAGACCATCTTGAGTTGCAACATGAGCAAACTTCTGAGTGCCTTGCATATTCAGGGGCTTGTCATGGAACTTCCAACAATTCTTTTTACGTGAGCCTCAGCATCACAGTGAAAGCAAGTTCGAGGGCCATTACCACGATTGTTCCCAGTATCACGACTTGTCCCTTTCTTACCTTTGTCATCACCAGGCTCCATGCTAGCTAGGGCCGCATGATCAACATTAGGATCCTTAAAGGTTTTTTTGTCCTTAGACACTCCTCGATCTTCCCCCTTACTAACTCTGAGAAGTCGACCAAAGACATCTGTAAGAGAGGGAATTGTCTCACGGGTAAGAAATTGTGTACGAGCTATCTCATATTCCGATCTCAACCCCGCTAGAAAACATTGCACTACCACTTGTTCTTCTTGTGCTTGCATCATCTTCACATCAATAGGGACAGGAAACATAACCCTTTTTTCTTCAAATGCTTGTTTTATCTCTGTATAATATTCGAGCAACGTCTTCTCTTGCATATTTGCTCGATAGATCTTCAATAACAATTCATAGGCATGAGACAGGTCTTGTTTACCAGCATACAAGAACTCTAGATACTCCCATAACTCCTTGACGGTATCACAGTGACCAATCACATCATCCACGGACGAATCGAGAGTGTTCTAAATCTGATTGAAGAGCTTATCATCTTTCGTGAGCCATTTTTTTCGAGTTTTATTATCACTTTCTGTTGCCTCGGGTGAATCCTCGATTAAATGGTCTCCCATATCAATGCTAAACACATATCGTCTAATAATCCGCTTTCATTGAATATAATTCATTTTTCCCAATAACTTTCGATCAGTAATTTTGGTGGAGGAAGTGACAATTTCAGTCACCATCTTCTTACCATCATCTGCCATACTGTCTAGCAAATAACTCCCAACTTCACAGATTCAAAACAATCTCAACACCAAACAACCCAAGCAAACAACCCAAGCAAACATCCCAATCTCAAACAACTAGGATTCACAACAACTCCAAGCCAACACAAAAGGATAGTCAAAATGATTCACAACAACTCCAAGCAAACACAAAAGGATTCACAACAACTCCACGTTAACTACACCAAACAACAACAGAGAAGAGAGACTGGAACAGAATCAACGTTTGCCGAAAAAGGAGAAACAAAGGTCGTCGAAGATGACACAGGACACCAGAGATAACAGAGGAACAAAGAACAACAAAGAACAGATTCAGATGTTGCCGGAAAAAGGGAAGCTAAGGGCAAACGTCGCTGGAGAGAGAGAAACCATGGACAAAGACATCACCAAAGATCGTCGGTCGCTGGAAAACAGAAACAAAGAAATGGGTTTAAGGTTTAAGGGTTCATGCATCGTCCAAGGGCTCTGATACCATGTTTCATTTTCTATTATTTCTTCACTTTCAACAGTACAACCTAACTAAATATATGCACACTCAACAATTACATATATACCCTTTACTTATACATAGTTTCCAACAGTTGCCAAGGTGACTAAGAAGTGAACTCGATGAGAGATTCTTATGGACATGCAAAACTGGGTGCGAAGAAAGGATGAGGAAGAAGAAGAGCGACGGAGGAACTTATCTAGCGAACCCAACCGAGACAGAGGTGGACACACTGAACACGACCTCATGGAGGATAGGGAGACCAAGGTGGGAACCAGGGTGGAGAAGGATTGAACCCAGGCGGGCAAAGGTGGAATCGTCGTGACTTGGGTGATCGGAAACTACAACTGCCCCTCTTTTCCGATGAAGACCCTTATGGGTGGATCTTCTGAGTGGAGCGTTACTTCTCGATAAATTAGATCCCGATGAGCACAAAGTTTCGTCGATGGCTCTTTGCATGGAAGGAGAAGCACTCCACTTGTACCAGTGGACAGAGTCGAGGACGATGGCGATGACATGGTCAATGTACAAGGTCGCACTACTGTAGAGGTTTAATGGGACACAAGAGGTTGGCCCCTTAGAGCTGTTGATGTTGATAAGGCAAGGAGGATCGATGCTGAATTTTTGCCGACGGTTTGAGGAGGTTGCAACGCTAACACAAGGGGAGAGAAAAGACGTCTTAATAGCAACATTTCCAAACGGGTTAAAACCAGAGATCTAGGCAGAGATAAAAGTTGTAGCAACCCGATTTGTTAACCCGACCCAATTCATTAACCCAAGTGACCTTGCTAGCCCAACGCGTGGAAGAGAGGAATGTTGCACTAGAAGAACCCCATGCAGGCTTGGGCCGAATAGGTAACTTCTGGGCCTAAATCTATTTCTAATTCATTTAGACAGGATGAAAGTTTGAAAGCCCACTCTTCAAATAACCCATACAACTCACCCAGATCTGATAACCAAACCCACACCTTCTCCCAAAATACAACTCCCACCCGAAGAATTCCATCTAAACGCTACGACAGCTCAAGGTCAACGGCTTCAAACAACAGCAGAACCAACGCATTTTGCCAAGAGTTTCCATTTAAGAAATTGACTGTGATCAAGATACAGAGGAAAAGAGAACGAGGCTTGAGTTATTAATGTGATGCAAAATACTCACCAGGGCATAAATGCAGGGAAAAGCAATTCCAGGTACTGTTGATTGATGAAGAGGAAAATAGGGAGGAAGAGGTAACGAATGAAAAAGAAATAATGGAAGAAGAGG